AATTCTTCTGCAATAGATAAAAGGAACTTTATTATAGAAATCAGCAGACTTGTAAATTACATTTTGCCTTCTTGTTGCTTCATCGAGTTGGTTCTTACAATTAATTTTTTATTGGGGTTCTCTGGATCTATATATATATATATAGGAGAAGTTAGCTGCTCCAAAGTGTTCTCTTGTGCCAAAACCATGGTCATAATAAGTAAACTTTGCTTTACTTCAAAATTTCGAAAAGTATTCTGAAGAAGTTAAATTTTTTGGTGAAAGCTCTCAGAGAATAAATGATTTAGGTGATTGTAAACATTTATCTCAGTCAGAAATTACTTTTAAAGATCTGCCCTTTTCTAAGAATTTTTGCTTGATTAATTCATAAAAAGAGTCAATTTTATTTTGATTCATAGTAATTTATTTTAATAATTTTTTTACCCAACATTAGCATAAACTGGCTTTGGGCAAGTAATGTCTTTATATTCATTCCTGACAAATGGGTGAATGTTCTGGTAAAGATACTCCTGCCTTTTGTAATTTAGAGGAGGGGTTAATATTAAAATGGATAATGATTTAATTTGTTTGGTAATTTCAGAAATACTTGCTTTTTTAGTTTTAACAAACTGAATTCAGTAAAAGCACCATTAACAACCAGCTGAGCTTTGACAACTCCAGGGTTGGCTGCTTCAAACAGAAAATGCTGGTATTTTTGCAAACCATTTAACTTTTTAAAAAAAAATTCCCAACACAGAATTAAGGTCTAAGTACTGAAAACCTTTGCCGCTTTCATAGCACTGAGCCTTGTTTAATCCCGCTGTACTAGTACTTGATTTTTTCACAATCTCAACAATATGTTTTACACAATCTCAACAATATGTTTTACACAATCTACCGTTGTTTTTCGGTATAGTTTCTTAATCAATCCAAAACTACCATCACACTTAAATTTAGTATGTCTCGGTATCATAAAATTTAATTCGATACTTTCATAATAACCGCAAATTACTAAATATAGGTAAAATCAAATGGTAACATTATTTTTATTCTGACCACCAGCGTTATCACAGGTAATTTTTAAATGTTTTCACCTTTATTCAGTTTCTTTATTCCATCGAATGCTCAGTGTACCATTAGGGCCTTTCCCTATAATTTCGTCTTCATCAAGAACGTAATTAATTTGTTGCGCATTGCTTCATTTTGAATACCAAACAATGCACTGAGATAATAAATTTTACTTACCTGTTGATCGGAATGGGGTCGTGAACATTTTGTGGCTGTAATGAGCAGTAGCGTCAACGCTGCAATATTCAGCTTTACCTCTTGAGCTTTTTTCTTACCGGCCACGGCTACTTTTTTCCGAATAGAAGCACACCGCTCGTCTATCAATTTTCTCTGCTGTTCAGCTAATTTCGTAATAATTTAGCCTTAACTAAATGTTCTTTATATTTTTTCAATAAATCTTTTGCTTCTTCTTCCTTGCGAGCATTATACTGAGCCGTTCCGAAAACGCTGACATGTGTCACATAAATCCGTTCTTGGACTCATAATTTGATTATACGGCATTAATTGGTGCCATAACTTGCAGAACGCATCATATTTTAACAATTTCAACGTGCTTTGTTTTCAAGACATGCAATAAAATCACGATAAACCGATTTGTAACTTGTTTCAGCTGGCAAGAGTGTAAGCAGTTGAGTAATTCGGTTGACATTTCTACCGGGACTTGGTAGACCATGAATTTCAGCATAAATTTTCGAGAAAATTCTTCACGGCAGTAGCAATGGTTATATCAATGGTTAGTTTGTTTTTCATCGTGGCATTCGTTTTATGTTACCATGAATACGTGGTATTATACCATTCGCCGCTAGGTGATTTCGAAGTGCGTGCGGCCAATTCCTAACATATTGAGATACGTTTTCTGACAAGTGGCGTATTGCGATCTCAATAGTAAAATGTTCTCTTATTAGTGCGCGTTTTCTTTTTAAGACGTCGGCTGGCAGTTATTTTATTGCTTTCAACTGGGCCATTAAAAATATATCTTGTTCGGATCTAGCGAGAGCTTGAAACGCCTCACAAAATTTTCTTTCGAAATCTTTTTTGAACAACCGCAATTGCAACCTACTGCCGAGAAACGCATGGCCTTTCATATTCATTATAATTATAAATTTCCATATACGGGTATTCCTATATATAGATTTTAATACTTTATTAAGAAGAGTTACTGCTACTCTAACTGCAGAAGAATTTTTATTATGTCTATGAGTCCTAAGATTACATCAGTTTTTCATCCCATCCAAAAAAAGAGCAAAAAACCAGTGATTAATTTTTGAATTAGGTGAATTTAGCAGAGAATTCATTACAATTAAGATTTCTTCTCACTCAAAATGCATTCAATTTATTTAATAATCATCACAATCCATTTACATTAGTAAATCTCATTACAAATTCAGAAATTATAATTAATTGTCTAGCAGAATAGATCTGACAAGACCTTTACTTAGTATTACATAGTCTTTTCCTGAGCATCACATTCTTTCCCTCCAATAAGTCTAACTTCCTGTTTCATACCTCTATACTCTATTATTACTGATTCCCATTCTTTCTGGCAATATACATTCATCCACTTACCACCACTCTTCACTGGAGGACTGTTGCAAAGGTCAGGATTTCAAATATCAATTATTACTGATTCCTTGGAACTCTTCAGGATATTAGCATAAATACCATCTGATTCAAAATGCTTCTCATGCTCTTCCACCCTTTCCCCATCTCTTAGTAACTCAATCACCCAGTTTTGGTCATCATCCACATAGAAGTCTACAAATCCATGTGAACCAAAATCTGCTCCAACATCAGGAGAAATATAGACAGTATAAGTATTAGGGAGGACTTGAGTGGCAGCCTGGTAGAATTCCATCTGCCAAGTGCATTCTAGAAGCTGTTTGTCTTTGCTGACACCAAATGATTTCTGTATTGTCTTGGGTCCATAACAGTGAAGGTATCAATTAGAAAGCTTTTTAAATCCTTGGGAGCTTCCATCACCCTGTTGGTAGATCCCCAGCATTCCTGCATGTAAAGTATACACAAGTAAGGTGCAGAAAACTTGAGTCTTTCATTTTTTTTTGACAAGCATGTTTGTTTTGATCAAACGCTTTGATTCACTTGTGACATCTCTGATATGAATGGAATATCAAAACACATTATTGCAAAGCAATTTCTCATCATCACTCAGATGTGTGAGTTTTGTGTATGCACAGACACCCTGAAGAACAAAAACAATGAGTAGAATGATACAATATTAATATTTGTCATTATGCAACCTTAAAGCTGAAAAAAACCCCACTCACATCCATTACTGTAGTCCAGAAATTATATGACTTCAAATACTTGAAAACCTTGTCCCATGTCAGCATCTCACTCTCTCTAGTTGCTGGTTAAATTGATTTCTAATACTGCCCATGAAGAATGCAACTCAACTCTTTCCCTCTTCTCCAACGACCAAAGTGTCAAACTAACTCCTATGGAGAATACCACTTACATATTCAGTGTTTCAGTTTCAGCTTCGGCCCTCTGAACACTTTCCACCTGTCTCTCATCCACTGTAGTAGTAGTGGCTCTGGTTGCAGTTTCTGTCTCCTTAGACTTCCACTTCACCAGAAGGTCCATGGTTGTCATAAATGAAAGGGTTCCTCAAACCTACCTAAAATATCCACTTTTCTTCTTCCATTCTCCTCTCGGTGGTCTTGGAAAGATGGGAGGTCCTCTCTCCACCTCCAACTGTTTTCTCCTTCGCTCGGTTTTACTGCGCCTCAGGTTTTCGGCTTCCGTTTTTCCTCCGTTGTGTCCCGTTTTACTGATGGCCTCAGGAATACAACACTAACCTTTCTGCTCCCTGTCCTGCTTGCAAGTGTGGGACATAGCCTCTCACTTACTTTCTCCCTTGCTAAATTAGTTTTTCCTCTGTGGTTTTCTAATTTAGCTTCTTACATTGTGTTTACACCAGGCATTAGGCCAAGTTTCTTTATTGATTCAGTTAGTAATGTAGTTAGCATATGCTTCCTCATGTACTAGCTGTCTAAAAACAGCTTTAGCAGTTTCTCTGTAGTTGTCAATAAAGATCCTATAAAATCGAAGAATGCAACTAGTCCAGGATGACGTTCAGTCATAATGGTTTGCTAAAGAGCCATATTTGTTTAAAGTTGAGCACTTTTAACTTTGAGGTGACATTCTTTTATAGCAGGTACTATGTAAGCAATTTAAATCTATGTAGTTTGTGGTGACGAACGTATATTCTAATGCTTTAGTATATTCCTCCTCACATTTCTGCGTAGCTCCGATGGTGCCACAAACATTTCAGGATCGACACGTTCCCTCTGTATTACTATTACATGTTAAAAAACTAACTTTAGGTAGCTTAGTACAAACTGGCACCTGAACGCCGCACCGATAAACTACCCAGCCCCAAGTTTTGTTGCGGGAGCGTGACTTCTGTATTACCGCTTCGCAGTATAAAGCGAAAGTCGTCTCACACACTATATTCGCATTCCGATCGTATCAATTGACTAACAATGCGCATGATGAACATTATAATTGGCCGCCGCCAGAGGTACCATAATCACGTGCGAATAAACGCTCATCTAATTTCTCGAAAACTAAAAATATAATAATAATAATATAATAACAATAATGCTTCCGATCAGAAAACCGAAAGCTAGAAACTTACGCAAGAAAGTCACCGTTGATAACGAAGACGCTGATCCCATATCTGGTATACCTTTCTTTCTCAGCGTTATCCCTACTCTGCACCACTTGTACTGATTACTCTCCCATTTAACCAGATCAATCTTTGCCACTGTCAACTCCAACAACCCCAGCGACCCCAGCGACCCCAGCGACCCCAGCAACCCCAACAAAGAAAACAAAAAAGTCTAAATCACATGTAAAGTTAAGCTTTGGGATTGAAGAGGTAGGATCTTTGCCTCTTTGTGAATGGTAGATGTTATGTGGTAGGATACATGTCTCGAACGCAAGGAGCGTTGGGATTTTCTGAGGTAGGAGAGGATGTACTGGCTGTTGTCTTAGACGAAGGGAGTACCATTAAGTGAGAGAGCATAGTGTTGCGATAGATACTTGATCAAGTCACCTTGTTTGGTTCTTCATTGAGAAAGAGACATAGCCTGCATGTCCCATCAATAATAGGAGTAAATCAAATTAATATATTCTTATTCGGATACTTGCAGGACGAAGGTAGGGAGGTCTATGTATCAAAGGTCCAAGCAAATAGACGAACGCCCGATACAAAGTCACGGAAGTTATATCTGGATGTGTGAGTATTTTACTACTCTATTGTGCCAGACTATATACTATGTCTAAATCGCACTAATTTATTTGATTTACTTAGGCGCTCCTTACCTAAGAATTTGGAGAGTACTACTGAAGCACCAACATATACAAAGGAAATATTGTTTCAATTAAAAGAAAGCACACCAAATACGCCTCCATCATTTACCGAAGATGCTTTGGTTGCAGAGAAATTTCCTTCAAGTATGGGAACAGGTGTGTTTAATGATTTCTGTACTAAATCGTCAGTCATTTACATTTCGGCGTTTATGCAGAACATATTTCATACAATTATTCACATTACGTACGGATATTTGTGTTTACGTAGGTCCCATAACAGGTATTCCTGATCCTGCTACAATTCATGCGGCTAAGAAGAAAAGAGAAATGCTGCGACAACGGGCAGCGGGTGGTGCTCCAGAATACATTTCATTATCAGATGAGACGGACGTAGGTTTCATGTTCAACTGCGTAAATGTGATATCGCGTTATATTTATTAATAATCTGATTGTCATTTAACATCTTACAGGTTATATCCAGTTCTGGGAAAAAGTTAGAGTCAAGGTTGGTACGTGAGGAAGATGAAGCAGATGACGTTGACGCTGGTGGGTGTCTTATTATCTCTGTGCAAGTCATATTCGAGTGTTTTTATAATAGACTGATAGGATCGTTATTAATTAAAAAGACTTTGAAAAGTACGTGTCTGAGAGGTTGCCACTTGGCAAAAAAGCGATGAAAGAGGAAGAGCAACAACGAAAGGCAGGAATTGAAGAAGCGGTTCAAGAGTTGTAAGTGGGTCTGAATTGGGTTACATCGATTCATCTGGCTTGACAGTTTTATGTCAATCGTTTTATTTATAACATCAATATTTTGATTCCCAATTAGCGAATATCAGGGAGAGGAAGATGAGGAGGTATTACAGTGGGAAATGGAAGCCATTAAAAAGGGTGGTAATGTCAGCAAGATAAAGACACCCAAGAAGTCCCAAGATACACAATTGTACATTCCTGCTCCGAGTATGTAGCGCATAATTGTTCGTAAAATCTTTTTTAATACAATATACGACCATACTTACCTGAACATGTTCAACGACTTCAGTACCAGCAATCACACCAATACCGAATATAGCCGATTCCATTGCACGTCTATCCCAACAGATGGACGATTTCCAAGATGTTCACAAAAATCAACAGTCTGAACTGATACAAATACAAAAGGATTTACAAAACTTGAAATCCTCCAGGGAAGAATTAGCTAGCCAAATAGAAACAGCAAAAAGAAGCTACAATTATTACCAAGAAATGAAGACATTTGTTGAAAATCTGGCAGAGTTCCTAGACGTTAAGGTGAGTTTTATTACCAAAGAACGAGTCTAAGTACTAGGCACACCTGTGATGCTAATATTTTCTTTCTTTGGAATGTAATAGCTCCCTTATTTGGAGGAACTGGAAAATAAGTTTCACAATTTGTTGATGGATAGATTACAAAGTTTGGCTAAAATACAGACAGATGGCGAGTCTTTTGACTCCGCAATGGAATGTAAAGGATCCAGTATGTTATACTATGGCATGAATGTCGCAGCGTACAAACAACAGGGGGTAGACATATTGAATGCTATCAATTAATCATTACACTGTTTCTATTTGTTCTCGGAATCCCTTATGCAAAGCATTTCAGACCAATGATATCTTGCAAAAATTCAAGCACGTAGTTGGTAAGTATGTGCGCTGTGTGAATGATGTGAATGCAGATGAGCTTGTGTAATGACGAGATATTCGCCATTGTTCTAACTAGGTGAGATAGAAGTCTCGAAACAGAAGCTGTTTGATGACGTGAGCGATGATTTCCGGTCACTTGATAATGTAATGTCCAAGTTCGACGTATGGCGGAGGGAGTTCGAAGAAGACTATGGAAATGCATATGGTGACCTTAGTTTAACGGGAGTGTTTGAACTTTACGTGAGATATGAATTAATATCGTGGGATCCATTTGACGTACGTATTCGTGGCACATATTTCATATGTTATGAGTAAATGGTGTAATACTTATCATGTGCTGTCTATTCATTTGTTTTCCTATCAGCAAACAACTGTTGATCCGATAACTTCTACTAATTGGTATCGGGTTCTTTCTGAATACGGAACAACTAATTCTAACAATGCCGACTCAAATGATAGAAAAAGCATTATAATCGGAAAAGTAATAGATAAAATTCTAATTCCAAAAATTAATAGATTAACTGAAGTATATAAGCCTTATAACCCGGATGTGGCGAACCGCGCTATTGGCCTGACTGACTTGATTAAGTCTATCGTGTAGACATCAAGGCTCCGGTACATGCGTTCACTTTTGTGGGGGTGTGAAGTTGACAGAGTAAATACAGTTAGATAAAAGGTTATTTTCTTGAATAAATAAGAAAATCAAGAGTATTCTAGATTCCCTTTCAATTTGTGTGATATTCCGAACTAACAATATGGTTTACTATTAAAAGAGCCATCATAATCTATTATTACATGTTTACTCCTGAACTTTCTAACAGTCTTGGTTATTAAATTCACCATCTGAACGAACAAGGACTTCATCTCTTTGTGTTATACTCAACAACCGTGTCGTCGACACGCTTTTGTTGACCGTTAAACCGTGAATACCAGTGTTTGATAAGAAATCCATTTCCTTAATATCGTTATATAGATGTCTGAACCTCAATCATATCCTTCATACGACTTTCCGTAATGTTTCTTCCGTTCTAGGCGTTGTTGCATTCGTACAATTTGATTTTTAAAGTCCGTTATCAACTGGAGTTTCTGATAGCTTTCCCGCCGAGTAAACTGCAAAAGTCCTCAAGTTCGACCGCCAGAATGATTAACACGAGCTATTAAATCATCTTTTTAGTATCGAATCAGATCCTTTGTTTTTAAAAGACGTTGGTAAAAGTGATCATTAGCAGCGATTTGAATGTAGTGTATTCGCAAGCTGAAATGAAGGTTAGTAAGCTCAAGTTGCTTAGCAGTTAAATCACAATAAAAAAAAGGAAATAAATTTAATATATTTTTCAACTAGATAATTCACTAGAATAGTCAAACAAACACTAATTTTAACCTAGTAACACAGGATCAAATTTAGTATACGCTAATACCCCATATGAAGTAAAGGAGCGAAAATGTAAACCTCGTGCTTCAACGAGTCACCTATTAGAAGAAAAAAAGAATGACGATAGCGTCCGGACCGTAATTGGGCTATTGAACTATTGCGGGATGGAGATAAATTGGAACAACATCAAAAAAGGTTTCAAGAAGGTGGTATATACGTCCCTATTCTCAAATATGCAAGCCGGAGAAGTCCTGTTATTCATGCAAGCACGGCAATTGCTAGCTTGGAAACTCGTGCATTTCTTCTGCAACAGGACAATACAGAGAAATACAGAAGAAATTGATGTATTGTTGACTTGGATGGAAAATAATCAAGCAATCGATTCTCCAATTATTTTGTAAAACTGTTTACATTTTATTTCGTTTTTTCGTTTTTTCGTTTTTTCGTTTTTTCGTCCTTATCAACTGGTTTATTGTCATTTAGATTATTAACAACTTGATAAGGAATAGATTCAGCTTTTTGCTGGATCAAATTTAGTATTAATATACTAATACGCAAGCATGTCAAAAAATGCAATAGGCAATAGCAAAGTGATGGACAGTACAAACTCCAGTAGCTAATTTAATTATTCTTCAAACAAGCGTTTCACTTTTTCTGCGACGCTAAAGATATATAAGCAGCTCATTTTCCATCGTCAAAACTTCATGTTAAATGTTGTTGTTAAGATCATAACATTGCAATTCTTCATGTGGTAGTTGATATAACATACACTTCGCGCCACACATGTATCTTCATCTACTGATTGAATGGCAAACTATTTTTATCTTGGTCAAATTTCTTACAACGATAAGATGCCTCTTCCAAGATTAATTAACTTCCTCTCGTTATTATTCCTATACTTTGTTTCTATTACCCTATCGATAACAAAATTGTCGGAAAAGTGACCGGAGGATAGTGATCATACAAATCAATGATTTCAAGGCGAAAGCCTCCTCACTCCGCGAGTCATTCATTATTCAACTGATGAAGCGTGTCCTATTTTGTGCCTACATGCCCAGCAGTTGTCTCAAATGTCGACGACAGGAATCTGGAAGCGTGATTGGCTCCTATTTTCCGTGACATGAGCTAACGCTAAGAAGTTATTAATAGGATAAACATTAAGTACCCTTTAACAAGAATGGAAATCTTTTTTATTTTTAGAGAGAAAAAAAATTTTTTCTTCGATCTCTATGCTTGTACGCTACAGCTACAGTTGCACAGAAAAATGCCTAATATAATACTAGTGCTTATTATAATTCTATGTGCGAGGTATAAATTTAACAACGATGTTGGAATAATCATCATCATTGGATAGCTATGTATATAGAATTTGGGTTGGGCATTAGCTAAAGGATTGAATAACACACAGTTTCTTCGAATTCAACCACATGTATCTCGCAAGCACCAATAAATTCGGGAGTCGATGGTGATAATAACTATGTCGGTATGCTATTTCATTTTTTGATTTAAATATTCAAATATTTGTTATTCAATTCCAAACTTGTGTTAACGACAATGAAGGTCTTCAATCATTTGAATTGTTAATATCAATGGGCTCCACGAAATAGGGTGAATTAAAACTACTGTAGTCTACACAAATAATGGTACAACAATAGAATGCTTATCTTATCAGTCAGCACAGAAACAATAGTAAAGTATTTTTAGATTTAATATAGAAAAGGAAAAAGTGTTGTCAATCAGTATTAGCAACATTATTATATAAACGACGCAAATTAATTCTAGGCGTCGCTATAAACAAACAATATAATAAACACTTGAGATGTCAGTTTCGAGTGGCAAGCCAACCTCTGACGAAGCACACTTTAATAAAGACCCGACATATTGGAAGGCGATTACATTCTTTAAAAGAAAGAGACCAGCTGGGTCGCTAATAAACCTTCCCTACTCAGAAGAATATGGCATTTACGAGTCCAGAATCAAGCAGTTGTGGGTATGTATATTAATATGGATATCTTGTTGTAATCCACTGCCATAGCACTAGAATAAACTAAAATAATAATAATTCTTTGCAAATATAGGCCATGTCTTGCGCAATAACACACAACATTCCCCAGACATGTAACAAACAAGAAGAGCGTGGAATTACTGTTCTTGGAGTGCTCACGCCCTGTAGCAGATATTCCAAAGTATATCAGGGATTGGATAAAGTTGGTGCGCATGTGTAAGGATGCACATGATGTAATAACTGAGTCGAGAAATGAATTAGTCAAGTCCGCTCGTGGTAAAGAGATTCTGCAAAAATTGTCGGCGATACCAATTATCATGATACATATTCATTGTCTTGAGGTGAGAATTGCAGTCTTAGACAGGCCACATTGTGTATATTATCGAGTACGCATGCTAGAGATTTTTCAAATACCTTTAAAGCCTCCAGAAAGTCTGGATTCATTGAAGAAATTTGTACATCGCTGGCTGCGTCTTCATTCATACATCAATAAGATTGCTAGTCAACTGCAGATACTTCAGCCTGAAATAGATAAATTGGTGAACCCGATAAATGTTTACTGCAGCACACCATGAGTGTGAGTGGCTTGTCCACTATTCAAACTCCACTTTGCGCTTTTATGACATTTCCCGACATCGGCTATGAATGAATAATAAAATATAGCTTAGATCATAGTAAATGTTGCATTGATATGTATTAGTAGTATTATTATTATACAATAAAGATGACAGGTATCTCTTAATTTCATGAATTAACCGATATTTTCAGTGATTACTTGAATACAGAAACAAGATATACTTTTTTTAAAAAAACGTACTGTTGCCAGACGTTGGCGATATTAATGATTATTGGATTCGGGGCTAAAGACAATAAACTTATTAGTTATTATTATTGATTATACAGGTCTCTTGATAATTACAAGTAGTCTCAAAATGGCTATATAGAATTACGCAATTTAATATGATGTTAAGTAAACCTATCTTACCTTTTTAGACCTGGTATCTGGTGCAATAAAAGGAATTATACCAATATTAATATTTGTTATGTACAAAGAGCACTTGAAATAACTAAAACAAGGATTTACCATTCTTCAGATCGAACGGAAATGGAGACTGCCCGGTTTCTTTATCTTTATATATATAGCTGACGCTATAATATTGAAATATTGCCCCCAGCGCCAATAATTCATTCGGGGCCCAGTCGATCTCGCAGAGGGACAGGGAATTATTCTTCCCTGCGGGAAGACCGACGACAATATCCGACAACTCCGTACCTGCCTACAAAAAAAAACAGTGGTAAGAAAAATATTATAAAAAAGAAAATTTCTAGTGTGCTACTCAATACATACTGCAACCCTCTCCCCGTGCTGCTGAAGCAGCTCGCGAGACTCCTCGTCTTTCTGTCGTCCTAGGTATGAGCCGTAACGGCGCATAACCTGGTCGACAGAGCGATCAGCTTCCTCTGCTAAAAGTCTATATATTTTGATTCCTTTTATTGACTCGTTCTCCGCTTGCTTTTTCAGAGTATGATGTCTTTTCCAGTGCTGCCGTTTGGCTGGTGAACCGTGTAGCTGTAAGAGGGACTCGATTATGTCTAACGGTACGAGGACGAAATGACGTGTTTCTCTCCTAACAAGCTTGTTGTTCGCTACTCGTTGTTTGCATACATGTAGAATACCTTGGCGAAAGGGTTTAGGCTAGTTGATAAAGAGAGTTTTTATTATCGTTATTATTATGTATTACAGGTTCACCGAAATGGGCGTTCATAACCAAGCATACCTGTGTCGGGTTAATGATTTCGACCGCATCAAAGAAAACTCTTGCTTTTATATAAGTAAGATTTACGAGTTTTAAATGGGTGTTACAGAGGGTGGGATTCTGTCGCTTCACCAACAATTCTGGTTCGAAATTCCCACATTTAAGAATGTCATATTACTGAATCGAGGTTGGTGGTACAGCCGTTCAGATAAATACGCGCATAACGTGCTTTTTTTTTAGCTCAAATTGATCCACCAATTTGGAAGTGCTCCAGCTGAATTAGATCAGACTACCATTTAGAATTGACCGTGTCGCATCGTTATAGGGGGAATCAATTGACATTAATGAATGCTTATTTATTGCTATATCAAGTTCCTGGAATATACTATTGACAAATAGCATATGCTCTATTCTATTGGGTGATAAATAGAAGACACCAAGTCTTTTAATCGAAAACATTAGAGACTTAAATTGTTGTAAACTGTAAATGTGTAAAAACGATAAAATTGATAGTTAGTTTTAGCCAGAAAGTTACGGGACACATTCTATAATCAACTTACCAACTTCCATACTCCTTGGGCATACCGTACAATTTCGTTTGCTCCCATTTTACTCTCACCATACACACGATCGACGAACGTAATAGGTACTTCTCCTATTGTATATCCCAAATGCCTATCAATTGCTCACAGAATTAAAGTTTGCACGTATGGTCTATCGTCTAATAATGTCTACATACTTACCGTGCGTGCACCATCATCTCCATCTGAAATACGTATCCTTTAGCAGTATTCAGAGAGATCAACCGTTCCAATACGGGTTTCTTATACAACCTAAATGGACGCGAAAAATTTTAAAGCTATGATGACACAAAGACATAACAGCGCAAGGATATAACGTAACGCAACCAACCTAAAACTTCCCGTAAGATCAGATACATTTGGTCTTAATAAAGTTGAGGCAAGGAAGTTTGCTCCTCGACTGTTCAATTAGATTAAGTAAGCATATATCTCCCAGCAAGTCAACAATCCTCCAACTTTGTATCGACACTTGCCTGATGATCTTTCGTTTAAGATCCCATCCATATACACCACCATTCCCAGCATATCGCGTTCCTGTAACAATGTCGAGGTTCCTCAGTCTTTGCAATCTAAGTTAATGCAAATATGCATCAGTCCCAATCACTATTTTGCGATTTGATAGACGACGTAAGCAGACCGTCCCAGTTACCGAATAAATTCCGGTATAAATTTAGGCTGAAAATTGGCCGCCGTTTAACATTAACATAGGTTAAATTTAAAACTACACGTTACAAAAACCACTCGTATATACAGCGTAATACTTAATATCCAGCATACGTGATGAGAGAAATCAGCGTCCATAATAATGACAAAGTTCCCATTGGCATACTGCAGTCCATGGACATAAGCTGTCCCCAATCCCAATTTACCAGCACGCGGCTTTAAAATCTATAAAAGAAAATTTTTCAACTAAGTAGTAGATTCAGCAAAAAGAACGACAAAGCATGTTCATTACCATTACGACTTACAATCCTATTCTCTCCGTAAACCTTCTGCAGTTGCAGTGCGATTTCTTGTGTGCCATCAGGAGAATTATCGTCCACAATTATAATTTCCCAATTTATCTTGCTTGTATTGTTTCATTATGTTCGATTAACCATTTGACAAGATTATCCATAGCAGCAATGTTTCTAAAAAGTAAATTCCACTAACTCACTGTTCTCTGAACGTCTTTTCAAGTAACCAGACTAAAATCGGGCTAAATATTAAGAGAAAGAGATTTAGTCGATGACATTACAATGATAATTTGATCTGTTATGTGTTTAGAATGCAAATACTGAAACACGGCTTTTTTTTAAAACATACGGTATTTTTTTACGTACAGATTGCTCCTTTCGTTGTATGTTGGAAGAATGACCGAAAATAAGTCTATAAAAGCAAGCCCCAGTATATAAATATGTTACCTATATCGAAAACTCAACAGGACATATTTCGCTATCCGCTCGGACCTGAAGATCCACTTGTAGCAGCAGTACTCGTCATATTTAGTACATGCGAAGCCATTGATCGAAATAATCACCCCCACATTCTTTTTTCCCTAGTTTGGTGGTACAGTCAATTTGAGTCGATCGCGTCAGTTTGCATTTTCCCAATAAGTACTCTATGGTCTTGTTCAGGAAAGCATTTAAATTCGTTTCAACGAAGATACCCCAGTCAGTATTACGAAATTTAGTCACCAATAGTTTCAAGAGCTCGAGGAATCAGAACACCCAACTTTTATTTACCTGTTATAAAAGACAATTGCATTACACTCTACCCATGGCTTGGTTCTGTTCTGGTACGGAAACCTTGACAAACAAGCAGAAATGCGCAGTGCTACTTGCTCTCTCCTCATTCTATCTGTCAAATCACTTTCTCCGCCTCTTTCTATAACAGCCAAGGATAACGATGGCCTTATTTCCAACCTCAAGAGAGCCGGAATAATCGAGTCTGACCGTATCGAAAGGGCAATGAAATCGATTGACCGAGGAAAATACGTCCGCAAGGATCCGTACAGAGACACGCCTCAAATACTGGGGTTTAACGCTACTATATCCGCTCCGTAAATGTTTGATTTCTACTTTTTGCTTTCGTTCGTTTTGCATAGTTTTGATAAATGATGAGTTTTTTTTGAACAAACTGAATCATACATATCATTGGGAAGACATATGCACGCACATGCCTTGCAGCATTTAGAACCGTTCTTGAAGGAAGGAATGAAAGGTGAGTAGTTTATATATGGCGTATTTAGATTGTTGTAATTTGGATTATTAACGAAAGTCGCGTGTTTGATCGAAAACTTTTAACTATATAGTGGCACTTGTTTTGATATAGTACTAAAATTCATCCTCAACTACTCGCTTTAAATCTAGTTCTCGATGTTGGATCTGGATCAGGGTACTTGACCGCGTGCTTTGCTGAAATGGTAACTATTGCTTTTGTATTTTCGTTTGGTAACAATCTTTTTTTCCTTTTTTACTATTGTAATCACTCATAATATCTGATACAAGGTTGGGACGAGTGGCAAAGTAGTCGGAATAGAGCATATTCCTGAGCTCGTTCAACTTGGTGAACAGAACGTCCGCAATGATAGGCCAGAATTTTTAGATTCTAAGAGACTTAGTTTTGTCTTGGGTGATGGCAGACAAGGATATCCTGACGAGGCTCCGTACGATTGCATGTACTGTCTCTAACTACATTTCATTGCTTTATTGCATGTGTGTGTGTCGTCTCGGTGAAGATGGGCGTTATGCTTTCCCAATGTTTACTGAATGTGATACTTCGTTAAGACATGTCGGCGCCGCTGCTCCCACTACACCCAAGGCATTGATCGATCAATTGAAAGCTCCTGGACGGTATGAGGATCGCGTTATTTGGAGGGAGGGAAGAGAGGAACACTGTTTGATACCCGAGGCACGTATGTAAACTTGTTTGAAATGATCCACATAGGCTTTTTATCCCTGTCGGAACAGACCATCAAAGTATCCATCAGATCGATAAGGATAAAGACGGCAACATAACAGACAAAGACGTAATGGGTGTTATGGTAAGGGTTAGGTTCAAGTGTTTTCTTGCTTGGTTGGAGATTTTACAATGATGACTGACCATCTGCACGTATTTTTAGTATGTTCCACTTACCGATGCATCTAGCCAACTGCGGACGTTCTGAACATGCGAAATAGTAACGATGAAATATTAGATAGCGTATCATTCGTTGAAATGAATCGCACCTCATTTATTAGGTGTGTAAATGTCTTTGATCCTCCCAGGTCAATGCTCTTTACACGTGTTAGAACCATGTCGTCTTCTTCTTGAACACAGTATATCACTGTTAAGTTGCATGATAACTAGTCACATTTCGCTTATTCTTTGTTTTATAATTTGCATTTGGATTCACTTAGCTTAAACAGGCTAATCTCATACAGTTATCAGTCCATGAATAATTATTTCAAACAGGTTAATATTAAACTCAACATGTTGGAGGAATGCACAAGTTATCAATGAAATAAGTCATGTTACAGGATTATCACATCCCCTGACAGAGAAGATTATCATGGAAATTTTAGACGGGGACTGTAGTAGGCATATTATTGGGAGCTGTCGAGTCGGAATATAGTGAACTGGCAAACAACCATTATCAGTACAGGCTATTGGCACTCATACTAATAAATGCCATAGTAATTGTAATATTACGGCGCGTGATGTAATAATCGAGAACCTGTTTATCAATTTGATTTTTTTTATTCAACAATTGGTATTGACAAGAATGTTGTTTAAATTTCTACTTAATACACTTCGAAGACATTTCTCCTGTGTATCGTTTTTACGAGGTAGAAAGGACAAAGGAAACTTAATGGTATCGCCAGAGAGGATATTGGTATCGGTGTTGTTGGTGTTGTCGTTAGCGTTGGGGTTGATGTTTAGGATATCATCTATTCTAGAACTTATATCGTCGATCTTTGTTGTTATGGAATCATCTCTTGTCGTATTATCCTCGACGGTCCTGGCATAGTAAACTGCCTAACACTTACAATGGCCTGCAAACGTCTGGCTTTCCAACACATTGATGTGTTGCAAAGTGTATATATGGCCATATCTGTAATCTGGTATTTTTGAAGACCGGTTAGTTTACTAGGTACGAGAACAGGAGAATACAACAAAAACTTCAAAAGGAATACTGTACTTTGGGTAGTTTCATTAATCCGACCCCGTTGATGATGCGGTTAAATCAACTCCACCATCTCCACCGTAGGATTAGGGTTAGGGTTAGGGTTAGGGCTATCTAAAATTATTTCGAGATTTTTCTCTTGGATTTGGCCCCAGGTTTGGCTCCAACTTTCTTCTTGTTCCTGTTTCGTAGGGATTGAAGAAATTTGGAAGTTTGCTCCTAGATTTAGTACTTCTGTAACATAACCAGGTAATTTAACTGAAGAGATATTGTTTACTCCTATAATTACCTTTGGACGGAAGCTTTTTTGTTTGAAACCTTCTTTGAATTCTTTTTCGGAGGACTCTTCTTTGATGGTTTCTGTTGCTTTGGCTTTTTCTTTGCCTTTGGAGGTGAGTTTTGCGGGGTGCTTGCCCAGACCTAAAGCCAAGTAATATTTTGAGTAAATATTTTAAAGATTAATGAAAAACCTTGGTTAAATAATTGATTAGTAACCTTGGGTCCTTCTACAGCGAGTGCTGTTCGTGTGGTTAATTCATTAATAAACGTAACCAGCTCAGCCAGATTCCTATCGATTATGTTCTGGGCTGTTACTAATGCTGCATAGCCGTTGCTAATAACATCAAAAAAATAATAAAATAAGTATTTGTATCATAAAAGTCAAGAACGTTCACAACAAGCTGTGGCCACTATACGCTTTCAATTCTTCAATTTACACCTATGGGCAGCGTACGTTCGACCATTCTACAAATACTCAGTGAGATACTCACCCGCGTCGCCTGTAGGTGAGGATTCCTGCTTCCTCCCTACACGTCGCTCAAAAGCGATAACCGTCATTGCAATTCTGCGTCGCTCGCGGGTGATCACCGCCTCGGCAACGGTGGCGATTATGGCCTGAACTATGTCAGGGCCTATTTTAAAAAAAACCCCAAGTCGATTTACAGTATGTTGATATTAATGTTGAGGTTTGCAAAACCAATAAGAAAATACGTAACAATGTCTAATTTTTTAGTCTTCGTAATAATGTTATTAAATAAACATATTATACTAACCGATCCCGTCGATGCACGTTTAGTATGCTTGACGCCTGAATTGAGAATCGAAATTGGTGTATGTATGAGTCGGCCAGGTAAATCTAATCAAATGGGAGGCATTTATTTCATCGATAGTCATTTCACGTGACACATTGTTTATCGCTGAAATTTATGTCGGTGAAACGTACTGTCGGTGAAAGTAGTTAGTGTGCGAGCAGGCTGGGGATTTGTTTCGGTTGGCGATTCCAGTCACACTATACGTATGCCAGTAGGAATATCAGCTCTTTGAATGAAAGTCCTGTTGTTGTCGTACACATATTAGGAACCCTTGAGTGCAGTAACACTTTTGGGGCATACTGGACTTTCGAGTATTGACTGCCGCCAAATACCCTCTCTTACCATGGTGATAATACAGAGGGTCGCCAAGTCTCCGAACGATTTAACACATCGGTCAAGTTCAGCAATATTGGAAGGGTGTTTTTTCCTTTCACGAATGCTTTTCTTAAATTTTTCGCGAAATCAATCTCCGTCACTAAAATCACTAATACTAAATCGGCAACCAAGAATCAAATGCTTATTTCAAAAACGTGTGCTCACCGTTTGCCAGAATAATATGGCGAACAGTAAGCAAGTGGGCCAATGTATGGGAGGCCTATTCTCCCGTGCACGGGAGATGCACACAAGGAAGAATGGGACTGGACCTTGTCAATTTTGTAAAGATATTTTTTGCTGGCAATGCAAAGTGATGTAATCACTCAGCTAAAATCAACCAAAGGAACTCTTCTGCGTGCGAGTTGCTTGAGAAGGAGCTGGACTGTTTCCCGCATCCTAATTATCGTATTGATAGGAGCTTTGTGGCGCTGCCGTGAATTTCAGAGTTTATAAGGTATTCATTACTTGAATTAATCTCCAGCTTGTTCATTATTAACACATATTTGGTGGAATAGGACGTCTATTCACGGGGAATAAATATCTAATCGAAAATGATGGGGATGTGGCGACAGAAAATGGTCGCTCGGGCTTGCGTGTTAAGAAATTCTTCATTTTTATTAGTACCGACAATCACGTGATGAAAAAATAAAGTCTTTCAACTTCTCAAAGTTCTTGGTTAAAATTGGTAGATCGAACTAATTTTTGCTTATCATATTACAATATTATTGGTCAATTAAAATTGAAAAAAATCACTTGATTGTCGAGTATAGATGCACCATATTTCCGACGATAAGGCATAATCACTCGGCAGCTTTATTTATCCTAAATCTAAGCGGTTGTCAAAATTTGACGCCGACATTATGCACAATGAATTGTGTCCTAGTTTCACAAAAGCGTTATGAATTTGCATATTGATAACACAAATTTTTAGTTCGTGACAAGGTCCAAAAATTGCGCCCCCACATACTTTATAAACGCTTGCTAAATTCATCGTTGAGGTGTGTTGGAAAGTGTTAAAAATTGTTGCAGTTGTTGAGCAGTAATAAATCGTCATAATCATATTAAATTATCGGTAGTCGTCTACGATTGTTAATTAGACTCATTCACTAGAAAACGAGTATAAGGAACTCCTTAAATAGACGCGTCGAAATTTATCTCCCTTTTATAATCAAGACTAGAGATTATTAGTTGTTGTTCCAATAATAGGTCAATAGGTCTATTCTTACGCGTCTTTGTTGCTATAAAGCCAACTGAAAGAAGTTAGATTAATATCTAGCTATAGATAAGCGGATGCTGGAGTATTAGACCAGACAGGAAAGAATAGTTCGATTATCAGTGTAATATTTTTATTTAATGGCAGAGATTTTGCATATTGACCATGAAAAACATTTCACTATTGATTACATAAAATATTCTAATAAGTCTGGTGAGTACTGTTTGATGGCAAGGCAAACTTTAGGGGGTTGGAATTATAATCGCGTTTTTAGTTTACCTTGCATAATGGTAACATTGCTATGTTGTTCTATAAGTGGAAATTCACAAAGCATACTATGGTAGTGGAACAAACAGTTGCCTATATTTCATATTACTCATAATCGTCAACAGAGAAAAACTCTGGCTGCCATCTACGATTTATATTAATATTACATAAATCTTTTCGCCGCATAGATCTCTCAGACCATGACAAAAATGAAAGCATGTAAAAAATATTTAAACCAGCCAATTTTTATGGTATGATTGATAGAAGAAGCCATTATCCACAAGCTCACAATAAATAAATACAATCCCACTCGCTCATAAATTCTGTTAATATTAAAGTGGTCTACATTAACAACATTGTCATCATATCAGATGTTGTATATAGTACAACTAAAAATCCGGAAGGCTAAGATCAAGTTGTTTTGAATCTGTTTCAAAATAAATGATAATTTTAATTTTAGCGAGTTAGTAATAAAACCGAGCACAAAATACATACCATAAGTCATATCTACATCTGGAACCTCAAGATTGACTTGATTAGAGTCTACGCAACAGATATTGTAAAGGTGTCAGGTTAATAATCGAATTATGTTGCCGACAGTACTAAATTTAAAATAGAGAGAGAAGTTTACCATACCGTGAACACTTGTAGGTGTTGGGAAATTGTCAAAGTCAAATATTCTACTGGTATAAACAGCTCCAGAATGCGCTGGTTTCTCTGCGAAATTGGCGCGATTTATCTTTAGTGCAACCCGAGCTCTCTCAAGAGATGGAATGTATTCTTGATCGCGATCTTCATTCCATTTGCTGATAGTACTAAAAAGTTTGTAAGCGGATGGACGCTTGTCCGGGTCGGCGTCGACGCATTCTTTGTACACGCCAGCATAGAAATCCGGTGTCCAAGGGCTCATTTCCGGTCTAGCACCTTGGCAAATGTTTCGGGCCAGAGTTATGTTGTGAGCACTGTTCTTGAAAGGGACGTCGATCATTTCAAGCATCCACATTAAGAGACCAAACGCATAAATATCTGATTTCTGAAAAAAATAATATAAAATTTAATTTAAAAAAAGGTATAATAAATCGTACGACATAATCCCTGTCGTATTTACTATGCAAATATGAACCTAATTGATTGTACTTTTTGAAATACATTATTACAACAACGCGATAGAATGCTATGCGTATGTAATTATATACTGTGACTTCCGTTTTATAGAAATACTGCCCTTTCACACACCCGTCATTATATTTGACAAGTACAATCAATTAGCTTCAAAACGATTGCTTACTTGCATAGTAAATACGGATGATAACGACTTTCGAAATAAAGATTTTTTCCGGCAGGGGAGTGTATATAAAGAATTGTTTTAATATACCTGCGAATATGGCATACCGCGAAGAACCTCTGGGGCAACATATGGCATCACACCAAATACTCCCTTATGTTTCTCTGCATCATTTTCGTGAATCGAAAGCCCGTAATCGGTGAGATCTGCATTGTTTTCTCTACTCTCAATAAGGACATTTCCTCCATGGATATCCCGGTGAATCATTCCCGTTTCGTGGAAATCATACAAACTCTCGACTAGTTGCAAGAGAATCTGCATTTTGCGAGTCCATGAAAGGTCTGGATTTTTGCGCAAGTAGGTTGTCAAATCACCGAGATCGGCATAGTCCATAACCAGAACGTGCTTTCCCGTGCTTTTCAAGCGTGATACACCCAAAACATGCATCTTTTGCAACCTCAACTTCTGCAGTTCTGAAACCATCGCAGCGCCTACTGTCAACTGTAAGAAAAAAATAATTGAGGATTGTTTCATTAACCTGGAATACCGAGATTAAAATTACCTCTTGTAAAAAATCCTGCTCACTATCCTTGATATCAAAAAGAAGTTTGACTGCGACTTTGAGAGGCTCTCTTCGCACGACACGTTTACCACTGTCATCAAAATCTACGCCCAAATATTTTCCATTTCTCCAGACACCAGAATATACCATCCCGAATCCTCCTTTTCCAATCTCGACTAGATCGTCAAGATCGTTTGGTGGAATCCATTGAAGGCAGATATAGTCGTGCCCATCCGCGTCTTTCTGGGTACTTTGGATAACTTGGTCATACTTGTCGTTTCCAGTTGTCCAACCTTCCATTAGCTGCTTTCGATCACACTGATTGCACCAAAAGTCTTTATTTGGGTAAGTTGATCCGCAAGTAGAACAGAAACCATGTGACACGAACGCGTATGCGCCAGTGGATTCAATTCGCGATATCCCATAGAGCGTCAGTTCCTCTAGTGTTCTATAATCCATTTGACAGACGTATAACGCTCCTTCCTGCAGCTATTTATCGACAAATGGAAAACATCAATACCTAACAAGAAAACATATAAACTGCGTTCTTTACCAATGTTTAATTACCTCGCGCAAAAAGTCATCTTCAGATCGATCACTCTTAGCAAGAACTTTGAGAAAAACTTTTGTAGGTTCCCAAATCTCCCGACTTTCACCAGATTCATCATTACAAAATCCCTTAAACGATCCATCAAGCCAAGTGGCATAATACAAGGTTCCGAACTCTCTACTGATAATTTCGTTCACATTCTGAATGCGATCGGGGGCAATCCATTTGAGACAAGGAAACGGGGTCTTTTCATCCACGTCTTTTTGCGTCTCTTTAAGCAATTCATCATACTTTTCATGCCCACTTGTCCACCCTTCCATTAATGCTTTTCTCTTACATTCTCTGCACCAGTTCTCATCGCTCAAAAACCAACCACAAGTGTTGCAAACTCCCCCTGACACTATTCCCAATTTATTGGTTTCAGGTTGTCGTGTAATACCAAAAATACGAAAGATGGTATTACCATATATTCCGGCCCAATCCTTTAGCTAAAAAAAAAATTGAAGTCATAAATAGTGACATTGAATTTTCTGCATCTTAATATCTTCGTCTTACCTCTCCGATGCAAGCAACTTCATCTTCAACGATTTTAACCGTGATATTCTGTGGTGTCCACTGAAGAACGATTCGCTGATTTTCATCAAATTTCCAGTCTTTATATTGCCACTCCAACCATTCCCCAGTATATAGCGTACCAAACGTACGCGTTTCCGTCTCTACCAAGCTTGCAAGACTATCCCAAGGAATCCATTTGAGACACGCGGTCCTGAAGTCATCAACATCGTTTTGTGATTCTCGGATGATGGCGTTGATTTCCTCATTACCGCTGGTCCAACTGAACATTAACCGCTTCGGATCGCATTCTTTACACCATACGTCCTTGGAATCGCCACTGGCACCGTAAAAAATGCCACCACAATTTAAACACGCTCCAGAAACTATTAGTGCATACTCTCCGCTTGAATCTGACTTGGAAACGCCCCAAGGTTTCAATTTTGGTTGCCAGTTTGGTAACTTCATTTGAATACCCCATTCGCTTGTTTTGATAGCTGCAGCAGCACATTCTTTAAGCTAATTAAAAGTCATTTATTATATGTCTACAATATTTAACATGCGCATGAGATTAAAATACCTCTTTCAAAAATGTCGCTTCATTATTTGCAAAAACTTTTATTATTACACGACAGGTAACCCAGTTGTGGATGATGTAAGAACCGTCGGTATCTTCACCATTATCGATAGTAAATTTGTATCGGCCATCAACAAAATCGGCTGCGAAAATGCTACCGAAAGAACCTTTTGAGATTTCCATCATGTTCTGAAGTCGTTTCCAGGGGATCCATCGAAGGCAATGGTATCCATGCCAGTTTTTGTGACGTCCTTTTTCTTGGGACTCCCGTATGACCTTATCGTAGTCGGCATTTCCGCTTGTCCAACCCTCTGTCAATTGTTTCCAGTCACAAGTTTTGCACCAAGCATTGTCGTCTGGGTAAAAGACACCACAGGTAGGGCAAGCACGACGAGTTATAAGGGCTAATTCTCCCGTAAGTCGTGATACGCCAAAAATCCTTATTTTCGTGACCTGAGGTTTCCGCATACTTTGCGCAAGCTTACGATCATCCTTCATCCACTTTTCTTTAGAAGCATTCACTCTTTTCAAGGAAAACGCTTCCTGAACTTTACGAACGGCTTCCGCACCATCCTTCAACTGTTATTTAACAAAAAAAAATGAATGAATAAATAAATAAATAAATAAAACAAATATGTAGACAAGATTTAGAGCACAATTGATATATATTACTTCTTGCAAGATGGTCTTATCTGCTTCATTTTGATCGGTCGCAATTGGAACCTTAACTGATACTTTCAATGCTTTTCTGTGGTTGACAATTTTATGCTCGTTATCGAATTCAGTTTTGAACCGGACCCAGTCAGCTGTATAGAGCTTGCCAAACTCGCCAGTGCTAATTTCGACAAGATTTTCAAGATGTGCAGGCGATATCCATTGAAGACTTGGGTAATAATACGCTGAGTTGTCTTTTCTCTGGGTTTCCTCGATAAGTTTATCGTATTCAGCATTGCCACTAGTCCAACCGTTATAAAGTCCATTGCGTTCGCACTCATCACACCACTCTGCCGTTTCAGGAAGAGCCTGGCCACATTTAGCGCAAAAATTGCTTGCTACCAATGCCAAAGTTCCCGTAGATTCGACGAGTGTCATACCGTATATAGGCAACCGCAAAGGATTCATAAATTCCGTGCCAGCTTTCAACTACAATCAGTCCAAAAATGAGCATATTTAAATAACCCGTTTTAACAAAAAAAGCTTATATTACTATCGATCTGAATTAAACTGTATACCTGCCAAAGAAATGAAGAAGTACTAGCCCGGAGTAAGACTCTGATCGTTTTCCAATGCAGAATGATATCGCGATTCTCGCCTTCAAAATCCCACCCGTCATATTCTCCCTCCGTCCAATCCGCCGCGTAGATGGTCCCAAATTCACCCTTAGATAATTCTTTGACATTTTCTAGCCGGTAGGAGGGAATCCACCGCAAACAAGGGAACGAGTAAGAGTCTGCACCTTGCTGTGTTTCTCGGATAATGGTATCATATTCGGCATTTCCGGTAGTCCAATCTTGGTTTACATTACACTTGTCGCACCATGGACCATGGCGCAAGATGCGAGGGTACAACCCGCCACAGGTTTTGCAAAACTTTTCGGCCACTAGCGCGAGTCGGCCAGTGGATTCTTGGCAGGATACTCCCAAGAGTCGAATGCGCTTTTTACGGTCATTACTACCCATATAAAACCGATCTGCATTCAATTCTGCATCACCTGTTTTTAGCTAAGGATGGGAGTGTTGATGTTAATTCTGAGACAAGATTGATCATCATCATGCCACGTCGCAAAATTACTCACCTCATGAAAGAATTCTTCCTCTGCATTGCTTCCCGAGTTCATGAACTTAACTTCAACCCTTAGAGGCTTCCAATTAATCACTCGCTTCCCACTCGGTTCGAAATGCACACTTTCAAATTGGCCGTCCTTGAAGCTGGCCTTGTAAACCACGCAGAATTCTCCTTTTATGATTTCAACGAGATTCTCTAAGCGATTCCACGGAATCCATCGAAGATAGGAGTCGTCATATTCACGTCCGATTTCGTTGCGTTTTATGATTTTATCATAATCCGCGTTTCCAGTCGTCCATCCCTCCATGAGCTGTTTGTAGTCACATCCATTTCTGCACCAACCTTTTTTTGAATATATCTTATCACCGCAGGAGTAACAATTAAATTCCTCGTCATCCATTTTGAAGCGACCGTGTCAGCACATTCATGTGTCTTGGAAACATGGTTTAAATATATGCTGCCAGCTTTAATAATATTCAAGTTACCTGAGTGTTACAAATAAAAGACGCAAATCACAAAAGAGAAGCATAATAATAAATGTTCTTCAATTCCCAATTTGGTTACGAACGACAGACAGTGTATGTACAGTATTTATCGTAAGGCCGTCAAAGTTTACTACTCCAAATGATAAGTGTTATGTAATATTTATTCTAAACTCCTATGCCCATTTCAGGCATGTGGTATACCAGGATGCATGGACCCCATTTCGCTGAGTAAACCAGCCTACTTTCTTCATATTACTTGCTAGAGACAATATAACTTCTAGTTGAGTTGGGATCTGATAACCCTTCGTGCGTTTAAAGTTATCACATTCATACAATATTATATCTAATTACTCGAATTATTTCCCATTATTATTATGGCTACCAGTCCATTATTTTTCTTTATCCAATATGCACGAGTTCTAATACAGTATTAAATTACGAAAATCGATGGTTTAAGAAGTATGAGAATAAATAAGCGCGTTTATTAATTGTCTTAATAAGCCGATGCTTATATGGGGACTACATATTAGTATCCAGCATGCTTATACGATAACATTGGGATTTGTTTTTAAGCTCTTGCGTGTTCTGTATTTTATAAATTCAGCGGCACGCGCGAACGTAAAATTCTCTAAATGATCACATGACTTAGATTGCTAAATTTGATTTGTTCTTCTTTCCGTTTCCTCAAAAAAATGGAAGAAACATCCAAACAACGTAAAGCACGTTTGGAAGCCTTTCGCAAAAGAAAAGCGGAAACCATAACTAACACCGGTGAAGAAAATGAATCAAATGAGAATAGGTACGTTAGCGTAACAGCTATAATTCAAGTACGGATGCCTTCGAACTATGCTTTATTCTGAAGATTTCTTCCCTCACTTTTCTCTCTCCACTGATCAACAGTAAAACACTCAGTTTTCGTAATTATACACCTTTAAATGAAGATGTAAGAGCAAATTCGATAGTCAAAATAACAAAACCAGAAGACATTGGGGACGATACTGTGGAGAAGACTGCCCAGCAAATAGTAATGGAAGTTGAAGTTGAAGAGGAAGCTAAGCAGAAGGAGGATGTGGTATGTTGTGAAGTTGGGACGCGGGGCGGGAACAGGTATCATATCGCGGCGTTGAATGACATATGCACAGATCAACGATAGTTGTCTACTGCATACGTTAACCACTCTTTTGTCGTCTATAGGATCTATTCAATCTTGCTCCAAGAAAACCAAACTGGGACCTAAAACGAGATGTTGAGAAAAAGCTACAAAAGCTCGAGCGTAGAACTCAAGCTAGTATTGCTCAGTTAATACGTGAGTTATTTTGTACACTCTCTTACTTGATTTTATTATAGTTATTCCTTTTTCCCACTTCCTAACTCTAATTTATTTATATTAGGAATGCGTCTACAGGGTGAGTCAGAGTCAACGACTGATCTAGCTGATGCTGTTAGAGCTACTGAGAAAGGGGCCGAATCTGAAAACGAATCGGATTAGTTGTTTACTGATATGAAATGAAGTTAAAATAATAGATGGGCTTGGCGGAAGGTGAGGCGAATCAGGAATGGGTACCAAAGATTACCCTATGAAGTTAATGAATTAGTTAACAGTTTCTGCGACATGTGATAAGTCAGAATGATGACTGATTCTCGTTGAAAATTCTTCTCCATATTTCTATGTTTTTTTCTCATTAACAAATCTTATCTCTAACTTTCGAACACAGGAATCCATTGACCTCTTTATCTTCCAAGATTTAAGTTAGGCGAAGATTTATATTGGAAGAAATATCAGAGGGTTTATAGGTAATAGAATTTTCTAATATATCTACGGTGTTGTTTTGCAACTGCTTCTGTTTCGACTTAGCAACTCTGGATCTTAGTTATGTGTTGAGCATTCCGAATCAACATCTCTTTTCCTAATTCCATAATTCTGGCATTGAGTTCAGCATCCCTTAACTTCGCATTCTCGGCATTTTCTTTTAATTCCACGATTCTAACCATAAGCCCTGCTTCCTTAGCCAGGAGTTTGGCGTTTTTATATATGAGCAAATCTTTCTCCCTTCCAAGTTCAGTTATCCCGACTATAAGCTTGTAATTTCTTCTTCTACTAATTGATTTAGATTGCTATATTCGAAAGTTTGTTATTAACATAGGTACATACAAATTTCTGAAATTTTCGAATTCTGTATAACTCTCGACCGGCGTCTCGTGATTCTATCGCTCAGGCCAAATAAGCAAATAGATAAACGATCAGATAAATATATAGATAAATCGAACGGTCCGATAAGCCAATTATGATCCAAGTGAATTATTTGGGGCGCGAAATATGAAACCTCCGTGATCATTGTCACGAAAAATCTGGTAAATGATACTACCTAATCTTCGATGCGCCATAAAGGATACCAAGGTCGATTTTTCCAATCAGGTGCCCTCAAACCATACGCAGAGTGCGCCTTTGGACGGAAAACTCAACCCACAAGAAGGGTCTAATTTAATTGTACTAGCGATGTGTAGGAAACATTTAAAGTCTCTCGCAACAACCATTCTCTCCTTTCATAGCATACATCCTGGCTCTCGCATAAGACAATTATATAGATATTTGGATTAGCACATTAATATCACCCACCCTCTGAACTTGGAATATTACTCATCTGATTCATCAAGAAATAGTATTTGTTTAGGAGATGGATTATCACCAAAGTTATCTTAGTATGGGTTTGCAGCAGGTATATAATTACAATGACACAAATAGGAGGATGGCGGAGTAGAATGTGACCTGATTCTTGCAATTACATTGGTCAAATTTGTATGTCAACCAATGAAATTGCTCCGCTTTAGCCTCCCCAAAATAGGCATACATTCTACACTAATAATTTGAACAAATAATAACTTAAAAGTTACTTCTCATGTCAACTTTTTTCGCGATAATACTAATATTAATCCTTGCGATTGAGAGTAAGTGTCGTGCAAAAGCAGAACCTCTCACTTCTGCATATTTCAACATGCATAAGAAGAAGGTAAATGTCATCCCTTCATTAATATGATGCACTATCTATTCAGGCTTTGTAACTTCTGGTACTTTTCATGGTTTAATTTTAGGTGGAAACCGGCCATTTGTTTATATGATGGTAGCAGATATGCTTGGTGATAATATTGAAACAGAAGATGACGAGATAATAGTTGTCAAACATAATATGAATAGTTTGTATGGAGAGTGGCTAGCAAACCGTCGTCAATTCGCACTTATTCGCTATGAAACAATTAATCCTACATATTGAAATGCATCTTTGATTATATACACTGTGTAACAAAAATAATGGCAGTGACAAGAAATTGCACATTTCAACAATTCCAAGGAATAATTAAAAGCAACCAGTCTTGTTAGATAGCATATTAGGCACTTACTTGATATAAAAATTTTTTAATACATAATCTTATTATCATTTCCCGTTATACTTGTTTGTATCAGTTTTTCGTTGCACACAAAAATTCATTGTCTATTTTTCCGAAATTTTCTGAGAAATATCCCCCTATTCCCAACTAATAATGCAGATGCAAATATCACTGTAAATGTTTTACATAGTAGTCATCAGTTGAATTTGTAATATGTTTACATAAAACAGCCAGTTTATTACAAGATAATCTTTGTTTCTCCCACAGTTTATTCTTTGGTATGTTACATAAAACTTTTGATCAAACAGAAGTTTTCCTGTCATGCTCTAAAATGATTGTATCTTTTGGTTTTTTGAGATTGTTTACAATGGAACAAAGATAAACACTCATTTTTGAATGTAATTTTATTTGACGAATAAGCATTGTTGGGGTATAATCTGAAAGTAGAGTAAAATGTTGTGAATTTCAACCTTTATGCATTGTGTAACATGGTTTATAAAGTTCTCAAAATTAAAGCAGAAGTCAACAAAGCCTTTTCTTAGTATAGGATCGAATACGTACTGCAAGTTTGTTATCATGCATATTGATTAGTGTACCAACAAATACTCCTATTATGTCATTGGGAGAGAATATAGCCAATCAGGATAACTAAACCTCCACTTGGACGTACGTGACGTACGTGAATAGCTTTATTGGCAAAATTTGGGAATATTCTGTTCACTCTGAAAATTTTGTTTCCGTTCTATTCTCTTTTACGTCATACGCGTGAATAACAGTAGAGTCGATGTGTATGAATATTGTAGAATATTTAGTTTTATGTTTAAGCGGAATCTTTGAATTGAATTTGGTAGCAGGTGAAACATTTCTTTAAACAAATCAGGAAAGCTGATAATAGACGCTGCGTAGGAATATACGGTATGGACATTGTGCATGAAAGATGAATGATTCAATCGAGTGACAAAGTGAGTGACAAAGTGATGGCGAAAAAAAATGTGCGCCACGTGATAATCGAGGCAGCCGATGCTACTCTCGGGTAGGGAT